CACTTCACTTCACGTCACCGCGTTGGTTTCCCAGCCACTTGAAATTCCGTATGTAGGTATTTTTGGATATGTCGCGCAATCAAGTACCTTAATTACCCATCTAGTATGGTTGGTACCTTTTTTGGAGTCTGGTTGTTTCATTTTGTTTCATGCATGAAATATATATATATTTGGGGTGTGATTGATAAATGGGTATGGCACTGTCCTGTAGGTAGGTAATGTAATAAAGTAGTTCTACAGTACTAGTATTAGTATCTAGATATATATAGAGAGAGAGAGAGAGAGAGAGTCGCTCGCTAGATCTACTCGATATTCCAGCCCTTGCAACTTGGTGTGGAAAGGCAGGATATATTATCAAGCTACAGAGATACAAAGATACACAGATCTAGATACAGTGGAGATATATGTCCTGTGGATACAATGAGATACTGTCAAGCATCTGTGTATGTAAGATTACAGAAGTTTGAAGCAAGGTACAAAGGTACGGACTGTCGATAGCCGTTGCCACGTGGAAAGGAGACTTTCGGTTCTTGTAGTACATAGAGGGAGGGAGGGAACTTGTTTGCTTTTTGTGAGACTATTTTTGTAGATTTGTATTTGTATTTGTATCTGTACTGTTTTTTGTACTTGTACTCACTCATAGGGTTACTTAACCAAACTTCCCATTCACATACCTACCTAGTATATATTTCCTACCTCCGTACCCATCATGTATCGCACAACCGAACGCACGCGAGGGAGAAGTGTCAAAGACAAACTTTTCTCCGATGAAGCTTTTGGGTACCAGTAGTAGATATCTAGATAGTAAGTAGTACAAATTTTAGATGGTTCTGCACTCTCTAGACAGAATGATTGACCACCAGTACATCAATATACAACCTATCATAGAGCGAAGCGAAAAAGCCTCCACGGCAGTGGCCCAGCGGAGCGTCATTCCTTGATCCAGATTTTTACAATTGCGATTTTTTGCATTACTAGAATGAGTAGGTCTGTAGGTAGGTATATTTGATAATAATGACAAACAAGACTGCGATGAATCTACTTTACTTTACTTTACTCTACCAGTCTACTGTACTTCTTCCTCGGTAAAAGAAAATCTCAATAAGGCGCACAATTGCAAGGCGTAACATCAGCCGCACCCCCACTTCACAGTGAGATAAAATACCTATAATTCTATGTAGGTAGGGTGGTAGGTAGCGTAGCCTTGCTTAGTATATCGTTCGTTCTATTCCACCCCACCACTCGCCATCGAGTGCTAGCTATGGAAATATAATCAATCAATCAATCAATCAATCAGTCAGTCAGTCATTCCTCACTCATAAACACCACTCATTAATATATACATTCTCTATCCCGAATCCCCCACCCATCCACCCATCCAATCCAATCCAATCCAATCCAATCCAATCCAATCCGCATTTCTCAAATCTCTACTTCCACGTTCGTCTCTACAATGCCGACCAAAGAACCCCGCCCTCTAATCGTCGGTTCGGAAAGCGGTCCCGAATCTCCTTATCCTTTACGAATGGAAGGTGAGGTGGTTTCTGGATTTGGTCGTGGGTCTAAAGAAGTAAGTTCTATGTTTTCCCTATCTATTTCTCTCTCTTCCATCTCCCATTACCCTTCTACTGTTCATTCCCTTTCCCCCCTCTCACCCTCTCTTCCTCCCCATCCCCATCCACAAACTCCCCAACCCACATCCCTAACAACTCCCAGCTCGGAATCCCCACCGCAAACATTCCCGTAACAAACGTCCCCTGGATCGACACCGCCCCCTCCGGCGTCTACTTCGGGTACGCCGCACTCGATCTCCCCCCCACGCATCCCGAACTCCAAAGCTCATCCCCCCCGCTGCCCACCACCCAAACCACCCGTCTCTACCCCATGGTAATGTCCATCGGCTACAACCCCTTCTACCGCAACACGGTGCGCTCAGCCGAAGTGCACCTGCTGCACAAGTTTTCCCAGGATTTCTACGGCAGCAACATGCGCGTCGAGATTCTGGGCTATATTCGTCCCGAGCTGGATTATGTGGATAAGGAGTCCTTGGTCAGGGATATCGAGACGGATATTGAGGTTGCGAGGGGGAGTTTGGCGAGGGAGAATTGGGGGGTTGAGAAGAGGGATGGGTGGTTGTTGGGGGGAGAGGCGGGGAAGAGTGAGTAGAGAGAGAGGAGATGGAAATTAAGGGTTGGAGGAAGGATGAAAAATAGATGACTTGGGACGCAAAGAAAAGGAAAGAGAAGAAGAGGGGAATAAGATGAGATGCAAAGATGTAGTGAAATAAGCGGAGGCGTTTGGGAACTCTAGATGGTCGAATAGATAGATGGTTATCATTTAAGATTGGGAAGAGGTACACATAACTTTTGCAACAACATCGCAATACTTACCTAAAAATATCAATCACATCTCAGTCACATATCCTCAAACCCAAATATGAAGGTGTATATTTTTGTTCTTCGAATACAACTACAAGCATAAAGAATAGACTTTGGGCATGCTAGAAAGACGCCATCCATTAATTGTCTGTCTGTCTACCAAGACTTGCAAAAGTGTAGGTATAAAAAAAGACAAAAGGGCGCAGAAAACATAGGGTAGTAACATGAAATAAATTAAAGGGAAAAGAAAATGAAGTGTAGCTTGTCCGCCATAGCAGTGTATCCCATCCACTCCATTCATAACAAAACCCCCTCCATGCATGCAATTCTTATCCTGAAGCTCATGGCTATTTGATGTATAGCTATAAGCTCTATTCATTCATTTTCCTCGTCCGCCCCAACCATTCTCCCCTTCCGTTTAGTGTCCTTCACTCCCGTGGTTTTTAATATCATAAATCATCTCATCTCGTCTTATCGCAAACTCATAACCACCCAATGTATGCAATTATTGGTATGTTTCAGTCCTCAGTGGTATCCGTTTGTAGTTTTATATGTAGTGCTTGCGCCTCGTCCGGAGTATGCCGCGCTTCCTTCCTCGAAATATGGGTGTGAACATGCTTGCTTTGCAGAGATACGTCCAGCTGGATCATAGACAAGCATCAATTCGAGGAGATCCAGTCCGTTATCGTCAAGATTCGTGCAAAGAGGTTGGCTCATGTCGCGCTGCCATTTGGGGAAAGATGGTTTAAAGTCGGGGAAACAGGTCTTGTCACTGACACCGGGCCATTCTTGATCGTTAGGTGTACCTAGAAGTCTTTTGATATGTTAGTTAAATTACAAGGTATAGTCATGAACTCCATTCGGGTAGATTGGAAAAATGCGAAAGGTTGTGTCTTACTTGAAGATCTTGAAGATCTCGTCAATTTCAGAGTCACCTGGAAACAATGGCTTTCTGGTGCACATCTCCGCGAAAATACATCCAACAGACCACATATCAACACCCGTAGAGTATTGTCGACCTCCGAGAAGAATTTCAGGAGCACGGTACCATAAGGTGACAACCTCGTGGGTATATGTTCGAAGGGGAACACCAAAAGCACGAGCAAGACCGAAATCTGCAAGCTTGAGGTTACCTTCCCGATCAATGAGCAAGTTCTGTGGCTTCAAATCTCGGTGAAGAACTCGATGAGCGTGACAATATCGGATACCTTCGCACAATTGACTCATGAACTTCTTAATCATAGCATCACCCATACCCATTCTACCCAAATCTGGACCAGATCCTTCCGGTAAAGCTCTACCTCTACCACCGTCGGCAACTGGAAGTGATTCCATATATTTCTTAAGATCCAGGTCGAGGAACTCCATGACGAGGTATAATTTATGGCCATCCGCGTGAACGATATTGAGAAGTCGAACGATATTTGGATCATTCATCTCTTTGAGGAGAGAAATTTCTCTAATGGCGGTACTAGGAACTCCTTCATCTTCTGCCTCGAGTCGAATTTTCTTAAGGGCAACGATACGTCCTGGATGGGAAAGATCCTTGGCTTTGTAAACAACACCGTAAGTACCTGCGCGTGAATAATGTTAGTATGAATTCCTCGCTATTCAGTGAGCAATAGACTTTGTGAAATGATTCTTTTCGTCGGGCTTTGCGCGCATAAAACGTACCTTCTCCAATCTTTTCCAACTTCTGATAGTTCTCCATTGTCGAGTATACTTGATGTTGAAAGGTTTAGAGAACGTCGAGGTCAATCAAGTTGAAATAATTCTGCTTTTGTCCGTTGAAGTGGGGCGGTGAAGGAGGGGCAGTTTGGAATGGTAATTGATCCTGGGTTTATGGTAACAACAGCATCTATTTTGAAAGAAGATGGACCTATGCACAGATTGGAAGGATTCGTGAATGAGAAGAAGAGTAACGAATTAGCTATAAGAAGATGGTTGTGATGAAGGATTGTTGTTGTATTAAGTTGCCGTAGAATCTTTCGTGTCGTAATACTCGTGATACTCGAATTTGGACTCGAATTGAAGTGAGATGAAGAGAAAGAGAAAGAAGAATTCGTACGGTATCGTTTATAGTATTGTTAGTATTGTCGTTCCGTTATTCGTGCTCAAGCTCAGGAGTAAACAAGAGAATAAGCAAACAACCAAACAACCAAACAAAACATTAAACAAATCGTAACCCAGACAGGGCCAGGCGGAATAAGCGGGCGCGTTTTTGACGCGAGGTCGGATGTAATGTACTGACTTGACTGGACTAGGTTCTAATAAGTAATGCCGAAAAGTCAAAAAACGTATAAAAATATAAAATTGCATTCATGATCCTTGTCGGTGCTAGCTCTACCTCTTACTCTGCCTTTTTTTTCTGTACGTGAGGCACGATTCGATTAGCAACCTACCTAAGAAGGTTACTGCCCAGTACGTCGTGACCTCTCCTCGTTCGTTAGAAGCTTGAGTCAGATCATACCCGTTGATTGGAACACTTCACAAGACAACTTCACAATCCTTGTACCAGTCAAACACCTCATACGGGACAAAGTCTTCGACCAACTAATCTTATCAAATTGATCAGCAGGAAAAATACTTTCCCTCGTTCACATACTGTCAACAACCGCGAAGATGGAGAATACCCTTCCAGATCAAACCACAACACCGACGGCCAAGATGGAGCAAAAGGAGCTTCATCAAAGTGCTCCCCGGCATTTGAAAGAAGCATTCAAGCTATGTAAACAGACTACTTATAGTGCCACAGAAGATTCTCCTTCTATCACTGGAATGATTGATCTAGAAACCCTACCCAGAGATGCGCGCAACATAGCTTTCCAAGATTTCATGGGTGCTGCTCTTCTAAACGCCTCTCAAAAGAGATGTTCGACCGGACCACTTGATCATGAGTTACCTTTGTCTAGATCACATCTAGAAGGCTCATCGTATGGTTCTGAAGTTATACCTGGTAGGAATTACAACATTTCTTTCTTCTACCACAAATAAGAATGACCCAAAAAATCAGTCCATTCAATTTTTTTAGATTGGCTGCAAGACTATAATCCTCACGTTTCTACGCACCTCAGAAATTGTGGTATCTAAAAGACCAGCCCTTCTTTCTTTCTACATTCTTTCCCCTAATCTTACCAATAGCCTTCGGCAAAGCAACTTCTAATCATGATCTAGGTCTCATGGTTTTCCCATCTCTCATTCCCCAAGAGGTTCAGAAAGAGTTGATCCGGCGTATAGTACACCGCGATCTTCTGGATCCAAAGCACATGACCAATCTACATGCCCATTACGATGTCAAATTTCCACCTCGTGAAATTGCTTCTGGGGAATCAATTGTTGCCAAGCCGAAGGATCCAACAGTACACCCAAAAGCACTAAACTACTTGGAAGTCATGACGAAAAAGTTACGCTGGATCACTCTTGGGGGGCAATATGACTGGACAAACAAAGTATATCCGGAAGAGGAGCCACCAAAATTTCCAAGTGATATTGCGAATCTTGTTGAAGGACTTTTCCCTGATATGGAACCGCAAGCAGCCATTGTCAATTTTTATTCTCCAAAAGACACTTTACAATTACATCGGGATGGCGCAGAGAGTGTTGATCGCGGCCTTGTTAGCATCAGTCTTGGTTGTGATTGCATCTTCATGATCGCCTTGGACAATCCCAAATCTGAAAACGATTATTTAGTTCTTCGTCTCAGGTCTGGCGATGTACTTTATATGCAGAAGGATTCCCGATTTGCTTGGCATGGAGTTCCAAAGATAATTCCCGGCACGTGCCCAGATTATCTCGCAGACCTCGAATTGGATATAAAAAAGTTCCCACATTTCATGACGGATAAGAGAATCAATTTGAATGTGCGACAAGTACGAGAGCGAAAGTCGGACCGTTGATTCGCCAATCTCAATTTAGCCCCTTTATGCTTAAACCACCACCACGCGATAGTTTCCGACTAATTTACAGACTACCCGATGCATTGATAACAATCCACACACACTACAATTCCTTATCAGTTGGAGCAAAAATTTCATATAAAAATTCGACACCCCTTTGTACTACCAACACAAATCTCAATTTTCTTTCTTCCATGGACCACACAGCAATGGGAGAAATTATTATGGGCGGCGATGCAGATAGCCAGTCGCCCTTGCCTATCATGGGTTCTTGGGCAGCGACCAAACCAGCGAAATCAGATATATCGTGGCACGTACAGAACAAACACATCTTACATTCTCTCGTCATTACCGCATCTCAAATTAAGACGTATTGGTACGGGAAGTTCTTCGAGAGAAACCAGCAACTTCATCCAAATGCAATCACCTCGGATTGGCAAATCATCGCAAAGAATAAGCGTGAATCGGTCAACGGTTTGATCCCTGAGAAATGGCGCTTGGACTCGATACCCTCGGTCGAGGAACAGAAAGATGTAACGGGCGATTATATTCAGCAATTTCTTTCCGCTCGAGAGATTGAGATTACTGAGACGGACGCTGTGGGAATTGTAGAGAAAACTAGTAGTGGCGAATGGAAGTCACGAGAAGTTTGTGAAGCTTTCTGTCATCGGGCAGCTTTGGCGCATCAGTTGGTCAGCAATTCAACCTCCAATTTGAATAGCGATTCTAATATTGCTTTAGGTTAATTGTTTGCATGAAATATTTTTCGATGATGCTATTTCGGAAGCGCAGAAACTGGACGATTATTTTGCTGAATACAAAAAGCCAATTGGTCCACTACATGGATTACCAGTCAGCTTGAAAGACCAGTAAGTTTGCTCTTCATGATAGACGTAAGTTTCTCACAAGTCTTTAGGTTTCACGTTAGAGGTGTGGAAACCACTATGGGCTATGTAGGCTGGATTGGAACTTTTGAAGGAAAGAAGGGTACAGGAAAAGAGCGAGTATTTGAGAGCGAGATGGTCAAAGAATTACGAAGTCTTGGTGCGATAATGTTTTGTAAAACAACCGTTCCTCAAACACTCATGGCGGGTGAGACTGTCAACAATATTATGGGTACAACGGAGAACCCAAAGAACAGACTCTTAGGACCAGGTGGAAGTTCAGGAGGCGAAGGAGCATTGATAGGATTGAGAGGTAGTCCAGTAGGGTTTGGTACTGATATTGGAGGAAGCATTCGGATTCCGGCAGCTTTCAATGGTCTTTATGGCATTCGTCCTTCGGCAGGTAGAATGCCTTATGAAGGTATGGCCAACAGTTTGGCTGGACAAAATACTATTTTATCGGTTGTGGGCCCAATTGCCACAACAGCTCGATCTTTGAAATTGGTCATGAAGAGCATTCTTAGTGCTCAACCATGGCTACATGATCCACTAGTATGTGAAATACCATGGCGTGACGAACAAGAACAAATGGTTCTTGATGCTATCATATCTAACGGCGGTGGTCAATTGGCTTTCGGAGTCTTCAAGTGCGACAGAGGGGTTGCTCCTCAACCTCCTGTTGCTAGAGCTATTGATATCGTGGTTAATACTGTCAAGAGACTTGGACACAAGGTTATCGAAGTGAGTTGGAAGCATGATCAAATATTATGAATCATGAGAAACCCATCCCCTCTTTTTATACATATTTGCTAATAACAAAACTTTAGTGGAAACCACCTTCTCATCAAAGAGGATGCGCGATAGGAGTAAGTTTCACTCTCCATCTACATGTAAATACTTTCTAACAACCACCTAGAGTAAAGCATGGTCTTTTGACGGAGGAAAAGATGGTTTGTCCCTCCAGCATTCAAATTTCTCAAACCTATAAACTCACAACCTCCAGTTCACGAAGCTCTAGCACTCTCCGGTGAACCCATGATCCCTCAAATCCAAGGCCATTACAGTACTCTCAAACCTCAAATGACCGGTTTCGACATCGCCGCCGTAAATGTCGAAAAGCGCGAATACCAAAAAGAATACATGGACTATTGGAACAGCACTGTCTCACTTACTGGCACTGGTAGAGCGATCGATGCGATTATTACTCCATTGGCTCCTATGCCTGCGAATCTTACGATGACATTTGATTACATTGGTATGTGTTCTTGTCGACTATAGTAGGTGGCGTGAACAGAGCTAATTATGATTGCATAGCGTATTCGACGTTTGTCAATCTTCTCGATTATAGCGCTGCTATCTTGCCAGTTACGACGGTGGATAAGAATGTGGATGTTTTCGATCCGGAATATAAACCACTAAATGCAGAGGATGAAAAGGTTTGGAAATGCTGTATGTTTACAAAGATCTTGGCATGTTTGAAAGAGAGATGCTAACAAATATCAGATGATCCGGAAGTTTATGATGGTGCGCATGTGAGCGTGCAGATTGTGGGGAGAAGGTTTCAAGAGGAAAAGGTTATTGCTATTACCGAGATGCTTGGGGATGCATTGGGCAAACAGTAATGTCTGAGCGGGACGAAAGGGAAGGACTTTGCATTCTGGAACTCGCACTGGGATTTGAAGTTTTATGTTGGATGATATGATATGATACGATTGCAAAATTTAGGTATGGTCTGGGTTATGAGAGAGATACCAGATAGGTTTTGTTTCACTTTGGAGTTGGGATAAATTTGGCATAACATACATTAGTATAATAAGATTGTACATAGCATAGCTTATGAAATACAAATTGTTTAGCATCGAAACCATCATCATCTCAGAATTGCTCGCGTGCCTCGGTCAGTGAAAGATTTGTGAGATAGATAAGAAAAAGAAGCTACCGGTACATCAAAGAGTAATGCCAAGAAATCCATTCGCATTAGCCAATTTTACATTCTTCTAGTGCCGATCTAACGTATTTAGCATCTATCTAGCCTAAGAAATCATTTTCTATTGTGGCTTGATATGTGCCGATTGGTAGGTAGGTGGATGGCTCTTTTAGGTTTTTGGTCCCTATTTGCATTAGATTGCGAGATTGATTGATGGCAAAGTATACGTAGGAGGTACAAGGAATCCATTACTTAAGTACCTACCTACTCTGTCGTAATTAGTCTCCACTAGAACTAAATCAATCATCATCGTCATCATCATCAATATCGAAAACGATAGTCTCGGTTGTTGTTACTGCGCATTATTAGATTTCCTTTCTTCTTTCTTCTCGTCTCCACTATATATCCATTCCCATGTGACTCTACCCCTCTCAACCCCACATTCTCAAAATGCAGCAAAAAAGTGAGGGCGAATTGGTTTGCAAGCGAAAAGGAGGGAGAGAGGCAAAGTAGATGATGCTGTCTATAGAGTAAAAAATGAAAATAGACACAAAAATTGCAAAACAACAATTCCGAATCCGGGAATCGAACCCGGGGCTACTCGGTTCTATATCAGGTAATACTGAAAGCGAGTTATGTTAACCCCTACACTAATTCGGATGTGGTTATTTGATGATTGGGAAACAAATTTATAGAATATATACAGAGTTTGAAAAGTGATGGAGAAGAGAACGATGCTCGCAAACACCCCATCCACTGCTATGTCTTTTGATTTCAAACTATCAAACTTTCCATTACGCGATAAAACTTAAATTTCTGATAAAGTTGATCAAAATGAACAAGTGGACTTCCAAGTTGCATTCCAATCCTACTTCATATCATTTCACATCATAAACCGAAAAAAACAACGAGTGTTTCCAATCATCCAATAATCGAGTGGATTTATTTGAGTGGCCTTGCTCTTTTCGTATTGCGTGCCCAAAACGCAAGCAAAATGGCTTTCTCAAAAGATGTTATTGACAGATTTTTGAGTGGAGATCTTGGAGCTCTCGGACTTTCAGGACCTTCAGAATCACTTCCACACCTTGACGATGACCAAATGAAGCAGTTTACATCAGGAGACTATGGAGCTTTGGGTCTACCTGCACCGTCATCTCTGCCTACTCCAGAAAAGGTTCGACAAGAGGCCAAAGAACGATCTACCGAGGTGTTGTCTTATTGGAATAGACTAAGACAGATATTGGAGAGGCATGAGGATGTCATACGAAAACGATGGATGAAGAAATCAAAAGCTCATCGATCTAAAATTATCTTACAAGCATGGCCAGGAATGTCTGCGACTCATCGTCCGGATTTTGAGGCATTGATTAAGGAGGGAAGTCAGCTGAAAACCAACGGTACAAAGCACAGGGAAGCGTATCTATGGCCATATCTCAACGTGGAAGATTTGGTTAGAGGGAAAACCTTTCTTCTTTTAATCAACTCTAGAGGCCGGCATCCACCTCACGTCTTCGCACATACGGATTTTGAAGCCACGCAGCTCGGCCGTGTTAGTGCTGCCACCATGCCAGCTTTTCTTAATGTTCATACTATGCTGCTTGAGGGAGAAACAGTCCAAACTTACGGTCGTCTTATTTCTTGGGATGAAGATGAAGATGCTATGATGGACACATTCGCTGGCCTTGCACACCTACCAGGATCGGGACTCATGATCTTGGAAATACAACAAAGACTACTAGATCTGCTAGTAAAGTGCTGTGAGGCACTGCTCCACGACATTGATGCTGATTCTTTGATCACCAAGGCATCGATCAAGCCAGAACCGCCTCAACTCACAGATGGTTCGGATTGGTCGACCATTGCAGCTGTAGCTGCAGAAGCGCCTTACCGCCTACCTTCCAAACTCGATTTCAGTCGTCTCCAGGCCATCGTTGAGGCAAGACGAATGAGTGCTGAGGATTATATTCGAGACTTGAGAGAAGATCCTGGCTATTTTGCCGAAGTTTTGGGTGACTGGAGCGAACATAGACAGGAAAAATTGCTTGACACCTTTGGAAACCGACATCCTACGCTTGATAGACCACTTTTCTGGGAATATGTCATTGGAAACGTTGTCTCCGATGCGTATGGTGCTTTGATCGTATGGGAGAACGTCGCTCAGCAACTCAAGCACTTGGCCTTTCTGCAGAAGAAGTATGCGTCTAAAATTACACCAAAAAAGCAATTACCATCAGAATACATGAAGGCATTGTTGACGCTGAGATATACGCTAAGCCAGATGGCGAAAGGCCCAATAAGAAATTTGAAGATGGCAGTTCCAGCATCGCCACCATATCGTTCAAAATTCGTTCGTGAGCCACAAGTACCAGGTTCTACAATGATCCAAGTTCGGAGTAAAGGAGGACAGGATGAGATGATGTGGCTTTTCAACAGTCTCTGGAATGACCAGCAGCTTCTCCTCATGACCCTACCTACACTAGTAGATGAAATTGAAAGCAGAATTGAACGTGATCCAAAAGAAAAAGCAAAATTTTCGGCTCTGGTTACACGAATCTTTTCTGATCTTGGTCTCATCTCGCGGATCTATCATGAACTGGACATATATCTGCCATGGGCTGCTGGTTACGATAATGCGATGGTAGAGCATAAAGATCAGATTGAGAAGGAGTTTCCTAAGCAGCTCAGTTTACTTGCCAGCATGGATCGCCATCTCAAAGCTACCGGCTTAGCTAAATTCGGATCTCCAGCCGAGGGACGCTTCCATTATCCATCGGATAAACGAAGAAACCAACAGAATACGGAGAGCATGAGGAAAGCTGAATATAACTTGGACGAGTTTTGGCAGAAAATGGACGAGGTCTACCAAAGAAACACTGGTCAAACATTAACTCAGGCTGTCAAGCATATTTGTACCGCCGTGCGTCCGCTAGAGCGGACACCTGAATGGGTCGAGCCAATAAAGGTACCAAAAACTAAATCTCAGGAAAGAACTGGTCGCGATGAAGCCTCTCCAATACCACAATTTGACTCCGACGATGCTCCTAAATTTGTTGCTCCACAACCAAAGTCAAAGCCCAAGACTCGCGGTCCAGCGATTACTATCAAATCTCAAACTACATTAGCAACAGCAGCAACTCCGGATTCTCAAACAACATTCAAGCTCAAAGCCCGAGCAATCAAAGTCTTCAAAGTTCTCTTCTGGCAACCATCTCTCAATGATCTCCCGGGCGAAATTCCCTGGGCGGATTTCCTCTACGCAATGACATCTACGGGCTTTGCGGCTGAAAAACAGTACGGTTCGGTATGGCAGTTTACGCCTACGAAATTGGATGTTGAGCGGAGTATTCAGTTTCATGAACCGCATCCTTCGGGGAAAATTGCGTTTCGCACGGCGAGGAGAATGGGGAGACGTTTGGGCAGATCGTATGGTTGGGAGGGGGGGATGTTTGTTCTTGAGTAGAATTTGGTGAGGTATATTTTGAAGATTTAGATTGGAAGTATTTGACTTGTTCAATCTACCTAGGCATTTGAGGTGAAATTTGGTGTCCATTGACTTGCAGGTCATAATAATGGGTTTGTTCAAAAAGCTTCAGGGCTGCCATTAAAGTGCTGACGATATAATAAGGTAGAGTGATTGATTGGAATGTACTAACGTAAGAAGGAAGAAAGAAAGAAGTGAAATTTGTAGGTCAGAAAGATTATAATTATAATGACAAATTACTCCCATACCCTCAGAACGATTTAATTATTTTCGTGCTCTAAAATTAAGAGATGATTTAGTTTCATACTCTTTAGATTTTATAATAGATTTTATAATAGATTTTAGCTTATAACAATCTTTTGAAAGAAAAAAATCAAAAAAAAATCAAAGGAAATTAAAGGAAAATAATATTATATTCATAGAATCTAATATCAAATAGCTAAAATCTATTCTCCTTTTTAGTCTAAAATGACTAAAATCTACCCACCTCCTATAGAATCTATCCTTCTGTTATAGAATCCACCCTCTCTCCATTATAGAATCTAGTTTAGAATGGTTAGAATCTAGCCTATAATGAATAGATTCTATAGAATCTCAAGGACATGAGAGTAAAACAAGTGTTCGTTGGCTCGGAAGTTCTCACCATCGGTTCCTCCAACGGCACATCGGCCTCTCTATCTGGTACTTGATACACACCCTGCCGCCCAACAAATACATCTTTGAGATTGTCTACAAATCCAATATCATATAAGTTCTCAACATCCTTCAAACTCCATACACGTTGCCATTCTCCATCTCCGATTGCTCCGACAGGATCCTGTCCATCGGCTGTACGCAAAACTATCTGTTGACTTTCTGCTGGCCAATGTGTCCACGGTGGTTCTATTCGTAAATTTTTCTCTCTGTTTTCGGAGAGAGCGCGTTTGAAAACATAACCCTCGCCCATCTCGATATCCCAGTCGGACCATTTCTGACTTTCGTTGGTGGTGGTGCCGCACCAAATTAAATATATGTGAAAGAGAAAAAGCCCATAGACTAAGGGGGTGATGAGGAAACATAAGAGAGTTATGGAACCAATTCGGGTATGTTCTTGCAGTGCCCATCCCCAAATTGAGAAGTAACGAGACCAGGTAAAGCCGAATCCTAGAAAAGACCAGTCTGGATATACGGCGACAATGAAAGTGGAAAGAATAGAGTTTCCGATGTAAACAGCATAAGTGGTGAGATTTCCTGTCGTGAAAAGAAGGAGGAGAAACCAATGGTGGTTATTGTAACCAACGCAATTGTTGATGAAGACACAATGGTGATCGCACTTTGCGATGCAATGTTTACAAACATGACAATGCTTGGATCTGGCAGGTTTGAGTAGACGACATGTTCGACAGGGATTTCCAGGATGGAAAATGGTATAGTCATAAGGATAAATACTCATTTGATGGACGTGATTTGAAGGTGTAATATATCCTGGATCACAAGAAGCAGCGAGATAGAGGAAGACATAGGGTAATGTCACAGCAATAATTGCCTTTACTTTGCGAGACGTGCTCATGAATGACCACGCTGAAGGCAAGAACATAATCTCGGATACAGAAAGTAGAAGAATAAAGAATATCTTAGACTCAGTTAGCATGGCTAGGGACTCTTCATTCCCGCGAATAAGAGACAAACAGCGCCCCACGAACTGCAAGAAAGTCATGTATTGCCAGTCCTTCGATGTAGGTTGTTATGTGTTCGACCCATACCACTTGAAGATATACGCTTCTCGATGAATGATAGACGAGTCACTTGACTTCATGCCCTCTCGAGTTGAAAGAAAACCAATCTTACCATGACAACAGGATGACGATCATTCCATAATGTATGAGCCAGTCTTCCCACCGAAGCACTGAGACAGCCATTGGACAACCTCTCATCTGCAGCTCTAAAACCACGAGGAATGTGTACCCATAATACTCGATGTAAAATACCTATTGGTGTATTCCTATCAAGTTGTGAGTGTGTGAAACATAAGGAGATTTAACAGCGGTGATACCTTAATGCTGGAAGCCTGCCGAAGAAAGCAACGAATGTGAAAAAAGAAAGAATGAGAACAGCTATTGCAATATTCCGAACAGTACCCATTTTGGAGTAAAACCAACTGTTTTCTGTATTCTAAAAAATGAGTGTAAAAGTAAGAAAGCGAATTAATCAATACAGTCTAGAAATTCATGATATTACAGTTTACGTGAGCATCAAGAGTTTCAAAGTTATTAGCCTTTGCTTCGGTGCGTAATCGTTGCCAAGCCCGATGTCATTTGTAGGGGCTATCAGCTGATCGCGCGCGGAGTGTTGGCTTTCTGAGCGCGTCAAAGGTTCATGTTAAAGAGTAGGTAACATCACATAATTTGCGACAAGAAACAATCCTTTACACCAGAATTTACTTGCATGGAGCCAATCAATGACAATCAATAAAAATCAATGCATATTTTGAGGACACTCGCTTGTTTCAAACGTTTCCTCTAATACATTTTCCCTTCGATTAAATTAACTCTCCTCAAACGACTTGCGACCGACAATCCCTCTCCAGTCGCAAAGGCCAAAGCCATGGCTTCTATGGTATATGATGGTGTTGGGGGCGGAGGAGTACTTTTTGAAGGAATGAAATTCTTTATTCTTCAGCGGGTTCCTATGCGCTCGAGATTGGTTGAGATAATTAGAGTAAGGGTGTCTTTAAAATGGAGGAGAAAGAAGCATGTTAATCATTGCGACAGTCAAATGGAGGTGAAGTCGAAAAAATCGAAAAAAACGCCGAGATCATAATCGCAGATGGTGCGCGAAAAGATGCGCCACCAGATTCTATTTCATGGAAGTTTATTGAAGAGTCTGCGAAGGCTGGGAAATTGGTAGACATGGAAGAATATCGATGTGGTGCATCAGAAAGAGCATCAGAACGAGCACATGCACAACCCGCGAAATCTACGCGCACACCTTTTACAGCGGAGGATGATCGAATCTTGACCCAATGGGTCTTGGAGGGAGAGCGTCTGGGACGATTTATCAAGGGTAACGAATTATACATTGAACTAGCAAAACGGGTATGGAACCTTTTTCCTGATATTCAGATAATTTACATTGAACCTAGATTAATACTTATTGCAGTATCCTCATCATACATATCAATCCTGGCTAGATCATTGGAAGAGGCACCTTCTGCCCACTTATGAGGCAGGAAAGTTACATTATAAGCGCGATGACAATTTACCATGTCCCAGCAGGAAACCAAAATCTGGTAGAAAGGGGCTAGCTAAGCCTCTTGCAACAAGAGTTTCTCATGAACGCGCACAATCTGCGGTGCCGAGTGGAACAGTCCCGGTTCCTGCCTCCTCAGCTCCATCAAAACACACGAGCCTTCGACCGCCGCCTCAACCACCCCGACCAATAGTTTCAAGGGCCTCATCCCCCGAGGCAGAGATAGAAAAGGTTGTGGTTGGAGGACTTTTTACAAAGGATGATGACGATCTTCTACGAGATGCATTTGAGAATATTTGTAACATAGATTCATCTAAAGAGATTGAGGCTTGGGAGTTTTGGACTGAAGAGGTAAGCTCGACACCTATTAATCTATAAGAAACTCCACTTACATGAAGATATACAGTATGGGCGTCATTCTGCTCAAGAATGGCGAAACTATTTCCATGAAGACTTTCGCCCCCGAGAGATGAAAAATAGGAAAAAGAAGACAGAGACAACTGTTAAGTCTGTATCATCTCCATCGGTTCAGCAAGTTTCTGATCCCCCAAGTGGTAAAAGTACCAAAGATGTCGCGCGAACGAATAATTCTACCAAAAAGCCGGAGAGAACCTCGGTGAAAGCTACCGCCAGAAGCTCCGCTACGCCTCATAACACAGAATCAAGAGTTGATCCAAAACCGAAGACACCTGAAGTCTCAACACGAAAAAATCATTCTACCTACAAGCAGAAGAAACCCTCATCAGAAACTGCTATTGAAGGCTTGGCTACGTCCTCTGGCAACGTTAAATCAAGAGGTGATTCGAAATTAAGCACACCAGAAGTAACCACAAGAACGAAGCATTCTACGCCCCGGTCTAAAGAAGTCTCGGTAAAAGCCACTGCTCGAAGTTCTGTTACACCTTCTCGTAATGCTAAAGCAAAAGTCGACCAAGAACTAAAGACACCAGAGGCAGCACCGCAGGAATTTGATTTGGAACAAAGGCCTTTTATGAAATCGCTGACGACCGAAGAGGACTACTTCACGCTAACCCTAAAACAATTCTGTGAAGAGGATGAAGAAGAACCAATCTTTAATCCCAGAATCCGCGGAAAACAAATTTCCCTCTTCAGACTTTGGCAAATCGTTATAGTATTTGGCGGCTTTGAAACGATAAACGCTGAAAGTCGATGGCAAGAGGTAGCTGATAAATTAAGCTTCCCTGTGGCCAACCGTTCTAAGGCTGCGCGAGACTTGAGGAGCTGTTATGACGAAATCTTATACGAATTTGAAAGAGTCGTAACCGAAGAAGAAAATGATCCGCAGAGTATCCTTATGTTCGCAGCCTCGCAAGATGAGACTTTGATAGCCTCACAACTTGCTGATACAACTATTTGCAGTGTTCAAAGGTTCTCTGATCACGAAAGGGATGCAGAGGATGACGATGAAGGTATAGAACTACCACCATTGAAAAATTCTAAGCAATTTTCAACTATGTCAACCAAGAAGCGTGCGATTGACTCCGATGGGTTATCCAACTTTAGCGATTCTTCAGCAATCAATTCCAAGCGTAAAGCTAAGCGTGTTAGGGCCGATAAGGGTAAAGGTAAAGAGGTAGAGATTCCATCTACCCCAGAGCATATTTTCAATGTTACACAGCCACCCCGTCATATATCGCCGCTCAAATACCAAATTAACGAGAATGATAATGATGGTAGCAGTGAGGATGATAGCGATCGTGAAGCTCGAGAAAGAATTCTTCGTATTCAGCAGAAGAAACCACGAGAATTGATTCGGAAAGCTTCAGCAAAAAAACTCAGGGTTGAGCCAGAGACGCAAGATTTCTATTACCCAGACATTGATACTCAAGCCCCACCAGTATCTCCAACTCCAGTCCGGAGGAAGAGGACCCCAAGCCCCATTATTGACCTATCTCGAGATTCATCTGCAGAGTCGGAAGTGGAAGCGGAAGCGGAAACAGATTCACAGGACATCGTTGATATTGAGCTTGCTAAATATATTGCCCTTGGCTATTCCGAAGATATTATCTACGAAGCTCTGAAGGCATCAACTTATGACTTTGATATTGCAAGTCCGGTCATGAACCAATTGCAAATGGGACACGGGGTCCCGGACGATTTAGCAGGAGTCTGGACTCAAAGAGATGATGATGCGTTAGAGAGGAGGAAAGGGGAAGAATACGAGAGAGTTAGGGAAAAACATGGTGATGAGAGAATTCATGCGAGGATTAAGTTCTTGAGAAATCTTAGCGAGATTGATCAATGAGTGGAACGATGTGTTGGAGTGAGCGATAGGGACGATATAATAGCAATTATGGTCCGAGGTGTAGACATATGACACAGAGGTGTGGTATGTAATGTGAAGGGTAGGAATGTCGGGTTGGTTTGTCTTACGAATGGGGTACGTTTTTGATTTGGGAATATGGTTCATTCATCCAGCGCGTGATACCCATGGAATCAGGCGAATGGCTAGTTTTTACTTTAAATATCTTTTAGGTATCATTAATGATATATTCGCAATTGTCCATAAATCGAGACATGATATCAAAAGAGCAAAAGAATACTGGGTGCTTGTTCCTGCAATAACAGAATAGTATGGTTTTACCAGAGAGGTAGGGAAGAGAGAGAGGAAAAGCGATCTTCGTTTCTCCTTGAGAGGAGAGATTTAGAATGAGAAGGTAAATCGTAAATGGGAAACCTGAAATTCGACATAAATCTCAAAATGACTCTCCATCTCAACTCTTGGTATTATTCATACTTGGTTGTATTCTTACATGACTCTTGATGTTAGAAGGATTGAGATAGCCTGCAGCATGTACTAGAGCTTGATATTGAAGCTGTAAAACAGTCACAATACTCTCCAAGTCGCTTTGGACTGATGATCGAAACAATCTATACATCGAAATTGTATGTACTCATAGTTAAAAGACTTTGCTTTACCATGCTCATTGATATTGATATTCATATCTGTTAGACAGATACTAATCATATTGACTTCTTCGGCCACATACTCCCTAGTCAAGCCTGAAAAATAAATTTTAAAGATATTGTCTTCAGATGATGGTAATTTGATTAATCGTGGAATTTTACAAGGGGAGCTAGATTTTGATACTGGTGTCGCCCTTATCATATTTACATCAAGGCGTGAGTAAATAAATTTGATCTACGATCTTATTTCAAACTGGAGATATTATCTAGAGCCGCCGTAGCCATTAGCCATCTGCTGCGATGCCGCTATAATGCTTATCCATATTGTAACTTAAATTAGCTAGATTGACTTGATAAACCGATCGATTTATTGTTGTTTAATGCCACTTTAGCTCGTGGCTCATCCCGCCGCTATAAAATGGACTCACGTCCACACGCTAGCGAGCCACACTAACAAGTGACTCAACCCCGCCAAATTCATCCCACCATAATTTTTGTAAATAAATCGACGTCCTTCCTTTACCTTTTTACCATTGTTTTGTTCATTCACAACGCAATTGTATAAACCGCAATCATGTCGGCACCAACGGAAAGCGTAGCTAAGCTACTCGATGAGGTCACTGGAGAGATGGTCTCCAAGACCGAATTGAAGAAGAGACAGAAGCAGAGACAAAAGGAAGAAGAAAAAGCAAAGAAAGCTGCTGCTCTTCCAGCAAGACCAGCCGCGGTCAAGAAGAGCAATGCTGAAGCCGAGGAGAAGGATCTGGATCCAAGAGTATTTATCTCTCGGGATTTCGACTGTAAATCTTGACTAACAATTGATTCGTAGCAATATTTCGAGATCCGTTCGCGACAAATCAAGAAGATGCAAGCAGCATACAACAAGCAAGAAGCTAACTCCCCAGACCCATATGTACACAAATTCCAGCAGAACTATAACTTGCAGAACTTCGCCAAGGATTTCGGTCATTTGAAGTCAGGAGAACACAAGAAAGACGTGGAGATCCGCCTCGGAGCTAGAATTTACAACAAGCGTGCTTCGGGAAACAAGCTTGTCTTCTACGATGTCAAGTCTGAGGATACCAAGATTCAAGTTATGTGCCAACTCCAGGAGTCTAGAGAGGGAGCCCCATCGTTTGAAAGTCAGCATGAGCCTTTACGTCGTGGAGATGTTATTGGTATTGTTGGGTACCCAGGACGAACTGCACCAAAGAACAAGATTGAGAAGGGAGAAGAGGGAGAACTTTCGATCTTTGCGACAGAGATTATTTTGCTCACCCCTTGTGTACAACAACTTCCAGATGAGTACTACGGATTCAAAGATCACGAAAAGAGACATCGCCAGAGATATCTTGATTTGATCATGAATGACACTAGCCGAAAGGTTCTCATGACTCGTTCCGACATAACTGCATATATTCGCAATTACTTCAACTCGAGGGATTTCAAGGAAGTGGAGACTCCTATGATGAATTCAATTGCTGGAGGTGCCACAGCCAAGCCATTCAAGACTCACCACAATGACCTTAACATGGATATGTTCATGCGTATTGCTCCAGAACTTTACCTTAAGATGCTTGTTGTTGGTGGAATGAACCGTGTTTACGAGATGGGACGTCAATTCCGTAACGAAGGTATCGATCTTACACACAACCCTGAATTCACAACCTGTGAGTTCTATATGGCATATGCCGATGTTTATGATACCATGGACATGACCGAAGAATTGGTCTCTGGTCTTGTCAAGCACATCACTGGAGGCACAACTACCAAGTTCCACACTCAACACGGAGAAGAATATGAAGTCAACTGGGCTGCCCCTTGGAAGCGTATTGAGATGATTCCAGCTCTTGAGGAAGCAACCGGAGAGAAGTTCCCACCTGCGGATGAATTGCACACCGACGAATCTAATGAGTTCTTCAAGAGAGTTCTCAAGAAGATGAAGGTTGAATGCTCACCTCCACTCACAAATGCCCGTATGCTTGATAAGCTTGTTGGTGAATTTATCGAAGAAACCTGCATTAACCCAACTTTCATCACTGAGCACCCAAAAATGATGTCACCACTCGCTAAGCACCACCGTAGCAAGCCTGGTTTGTGTGAACGTTTCGAGGCATTTGTTTGCAAGAAGGAGATCGTCAACGCATATACTGAGTTGAATGATCCATTTGAGCAACGTCTCAGGTTCGAAGAGCAAGCTAGACAGAAGGATCAAGGTGATGATGAAGCTCAATTGATCGATGAGAACTTCGTCAGAGCACTAGAGTTTGGTTTACCACCAACAGCTGGTTGGGGTATGGGGATTGATCGTCTGGTCATGTTCTTAACCGATAACTACAGTATTAAGGAGGTTTTGACCTTCCCATTTATGAAGGAGGAAGTAAATGTGCATACTGTTGTGGAGGAAGCAGGAGCTGACAGAATTCCTGTGGAAGGAATTACACATAAGTAAATCAATGTCTCATATACGTATGAACATAGCCTTGGTACAATTTGTTTTAGATATCAGAGTTTACAACAGAAATGAAAAACACAATAAATGTCATTACATTATTTGGTGCCAATGTATAATCGCTGTTATATTGTCCTGTCTCATTACCCTCCTCTCATTCCTACTTCCTTTCCTCTTCTAGTCTCCTTATAGCGGATACCCTTGAGGCTCTAGAAAGGTCAAATTGCTTGGCAATTAAGTGACTTTCCAATTTCTATCCTCTCATCACCACATTGAACGTGATTGTATCCATGCTCTACGAAGGACTGGCAAGAAAAGTGAAATGAAAGTTTATTTTCTAGTAGTGGAGGAGACTTGCAAAAGGGTAGAAATGGTATTACAGAACTAAGCGAACGTAGGGAGAGAGGAAGTTGATATTAGGGCATTGAACTCTCGTGGGAGGATTGATCAGGAAGAATAGGGTAAGAATCTTGTTGATACTAGAGCCACTGAAGTTGGCATTCGAGAAAAGATGATGTTTTTCGTTAAGCATAGGGACTCTCGTCTGATGTTTCTCAATCTTCGGGCCAGTAATTTCCGCCTTGAGGATATTCACTTTCACAATTTACATATTGGTTGACTACCCCTCTCCAAAAATGCATACGGTTGATTCACTCAAGTCTTCGTAATAATGTGTCCGTACATTCAAGGCTATCAATTATATTTATTGCCAGGAAATCACCCACTCGCTCGTCTACTTGCCTTTGAGAAAAGATCATACATTTTCTCCCGAATTAATTTACAACGCACTGACAGTATTTTCTTTTGCTTTTCTAAAGACAAGCACCGTCTAGCATTCAACTAAAGCGTATCTCTTTGCTTACAATACTCAGGATGCAGACGCAATGGCCTGTGATCGACTACATAGGTATGGTTGAAGAAGTAAGTTGCCCATCAGATACTCATGTTTATTCTTTCATCTCGACTTTTCGATCTGTCTAATATTTGTCGGTCTGAGATGAGCAAGTGGAATCCATGATAGTAATCCTAATTGACGCATCAGATCAACGCCTCATATAAGCTCTCATATGATACACAACAAGCAGCGATATGTTATGAGAAATGTAATGATTTGCTTTTTCAAATTGAGGAACATGGATATCTTTGTGAGTTGGAAAGTCTATTATGTTAATGAAAGCTTTGATATATCATTCTCATTCGTGAATATCTTTGTCGATTTTTTCTCCATTCCATCACATCGAATGCTCAACTACTGCCCGTGTTCTCACTTCTCAACCTACTGACCACCGATCAGTTATCGCTCATACACATCTCATTCTCGCCGTGTTAGCCTGTTCCAAAGATCTCACCTCCATCCAACAACACATCCAAATCGCCCTCCTCCAAATCCGCAATTTCCTTTCCCTCCCCGAAAATGCCTCCCGAATCGGTGTCTACGATCCCTCCAATTGTACTCATGCATTCTGTCTCGACAAACCCTACGCCGACATAAAACTCATAACTCAATATCATCTCTTCATCCTCGCTCTCCAACAAGAACATTCCGTCATGTTCTCCGCACAGAGCTGGAAGTCATGGGACACGCAGTTCAAGGCGATAGGCAAAGGAGATGATGCATTTCGATGCGAGGATTACGAAATGGAAGTCAAGAGCGCGGAAACGGGACTCTATCAGATGGAAGCTTTTCATAAGCCGATATTGCCGAAGATTGCGAAGATGCAGGATGAAATTGCGAGTGAGAAGTGGGAGAAAGGTGCGAGGTGGTGGAGATATATGAATAGAGAGTTAGCGAAGGGAAAGTCAGGAGCAGATGTGTGTCTTTTGGGGGGAGTACATCTTGCGCCGTTCTTTTTGATGGGGATTTTTGGTTTCTGGGATAGTATTGAGAAGGTTGCTTTGGGTGGGTTTAGAGGGTATGGGGGTTTGAGTGGAGAGGGAGTGGGATGGTGTGGTGAGGGTGACACTGGAGGGGAGAGCGGTAGGGTAGTAGATAAGGATAGAGAGAGGTTGGAGAAAACGTTTAATCGGAACCGTCTCACTGGATATTGTAGGGCCATTCTGCCTTATGCTCCGAAGAATTTCGAGTTTAAGGATTGTGTGTGTGTGCAGCGCAAGGAGATCTATAGCAATCGTTCGGAGAGGGATGAAGCGATAGCGAATGCGGAGCTGAGGTTTCAGGGGTATGCTAGTACGAGTGCGTGTGGTTATCAGTGGAATTTCTAAAAAGGTTCGAGGCGGAGTTAGAGAGTTGACTGTCTGAGTGTTGGATGTGAGTGTGGGTGTGAGTGGGCGATAAGATATTCGGGGTTGTAGATTTGTGGAAGACACATCATGGTGATGGATCTTTGAGATAACATTCTCATAATGAAAAGAGTAACATTCAGATAATCAGCAACCACAAGTGACATCAGGATAGATCATGAGTAACAAGTAATAAACATATCGACTAGAAGCGAAAGCTATTGCTGCTGGTCGGGTGGCATGCTACTCGTGCTGCACTTAGCATGATGATGCACCGTGAAATTAAAATTAACATTAGAAATCCAGCAAAACACATTTCATTAGATATATACGAGCTCTGTTTAGAACTAAATATCTTTAGAGACTTTGAATGTTCTCTTTGAACAATTGAATATGCTAGACTGTTCGGTCTCCTCCAGTCATACTAAGTACATGCCAGTCAAAGCCTGCCTCGAGAATGGAGAATCCTAGTTCTAGAACATTTCATGTTAGAAGTGTGTGATTCACCCAAAAAGATACACTGTGTATTGAAAAGGTTACAGAGATTAGAAAAAGACGCTGAAGTGGCATGAAATGTGAACGTAATAGATAAAGATGGTATTTTCACTTCCATAAATTGTCAGAGTATACCACTGGTGAGAGAAACAAGGATATCGATACCCTCAATCTTTTCTTCCAATTCTAAGAAATTGAAATGAAGAAAAGAACCAATTATCAAAAGATCCAAATGAATCCCAATGGTAATCTTGCAACGCTCACTCTAACAATCATCTTTTTCAATAATAACCGACCTCTCAGGAGTAACCCCAAACGGGCCAGCTTCTACAGCGCATCTTGAATCACGGCCTGGTAGATTCCCAGTTTGAAAGAAACGATAAATCTTCTCATTTGCACAAGAATTGTTGGCCGCCATCGAAGTGTGCTATAATAATTAGAGGAACCTGATATGGAGAAGAGTTGGGAAGACTTACACCGATAGCTTCTATTGTGAGGATTTGAGCATCCTTGAATCTTGGTGCCCATCTTTGACTACTGTAAAAAGATGCCGGTCAATTTTGCAATGATTTCAAAGGAAGAGAGGACTTACTTCTCAATAGGAGTAGCTGGATCGAGGGTATTACTGATAAACAAAATAGGATTCTTTGTATCACCACCAAAGGGACCTATAATGATCAGCCAAAGATAATTAATTGCAGCATTTATACTTACCAGCATATCTCCAAGATGCAGTGATAGGCCATCCTGAGCATAGCACCAGAGTCGTAGCCCATATTTCTCCAGTCAAGAAGCTTTCCTCTTCGATCGTGTCGATATGTGGTTTGAGTTCTTCGTATGTATTTCCATAAACTGAAGGAATTTCCCCACAGAATGCACCAATAAACCATTCGGTCAGTTGAGGAACAGTTCCTGTAATATTAGGTGTTGTGGTGCCAATATTACTCGCAGCTTCGATTGCGGCGACAGTCAAGTTTGAGAGGGTGGCTTCGTACGCGACGAGCTGAGTAGCGAGGATGGGATAAGATTCGATAGGTGTATAGGCTGTCAATCTGACTGTAGATTTGATGAATTCGAGAGATTGTTGAATGGTGGTGGCATTTGTCCAGTTTTGGGCCAAAGCGTATGAAGCGTTGAGTGGAAGGAAAATGTTTTCGAAGCGATGACGGATGTCTTCAGAACTATTACCTGTGTAGAATTCACAGAGTGAGGGACCAGCCAAATGACAATATGTGAAGAAAGAGTCAATGACGGCATCCTCCAAGTAAATATCCATCAGTTCCGTTCCAGAAATATAATCCTCGGGATCGACAACACCTGGAATAGATTAGTGCTTGGAATTTGGAAGCTTATATCCAACATACCGTCAATTGCAAAACGGCCAACTCGATCTGGGTACATCGATGCAAAGGTTTCACCAATGAAGGATCCGTAACTAAAGCCCCAATAGTTGAGCGAAGATGACGAGCTGACATCTTGACCACGTTCAGTCTTAGCAAAAGCATCAACAATACTAAGCATATCTGCAGCAAGGACTGCTGTAGACATGTGCGGTCCAGCCTCACCAGATCCTCCCATTGTTGCATTGCATTCCGCCCCAAACTGTAGTGCAGTTTGAAATTCTTCAGTCCAATAAAAAGTATCTAGTTCCGGTCCCGAAAGCCCGAAATTTCGTCGACGAAGTTTTGATGAACTGGAAGATGAACAATCCGCGAGCGGAATACTACGACCCATTCCTCTGGGATCAAATGCTACAATGTCATAGTTTTTTCCTACCACCGGAAGTAGAACTAAGTATCCATCTTCGAGGAGAAAATCAACACCTGCATTACCAGGACCACCTAGAAAACCTGAATGTCAATCATCACGTAGAAAGAGAAGATAAAGGAATAGGAAATATACCCGGATTAGTGAGGAGCATTCCTTGATATTCGCCATCAGTTGAATTACTCTGGGCGGCTATCATGATTAATGGAACCGAAGCGCGCGTTCCATTTGGTTTGGAATGATCAAGAGGAACCTGCAGTTTAGAAAGTCAACTTCCGGCAGTCAGAATTATGTTTTTAGAGGGCAGTTCACATCCAACATGGCACAAGAATAGTTCCAAAAGCATGGATACCAAATGAGATCAGTTGAAGCTGGAATCTAGAAGATACTGAATTAGTAAGAGTTTGCATGGTAGTCTTTTCTGTCTGGGGAAGGAGTCATAGGGTGTACACACTTCATCGAAGGTCCATTGTTTGGTCGAATTACTAACTTGACTATCCTTTGGCAGAACAGAAGCTGTCGCTAAAGAGATACCAAGTGCAACGCAAATGCTAATTCTTGAGATTTGATGAGCCATGTTTGTATTATCAGTCATAATGATTGTGTGCTCTATTGAATAGATGTTGAATATATGAGAAAAGAGAAGTCGTCGTTTAGAGACTGACTCCCATCTTTATAGCCATGAGCATGCATCTCGAGACTATGTGGAACAGGGGCAATACGACCGAATTGATTGAAAGCAAGATGTAGTGTCTCATACTTGTCTGCATCTAGTTCTATGAAGCTTTACAGAGAACGTCGTGATGAAGAACATCAACCGCGATATGACCAATAGAACGTAGGCAATACTTGACTTGAGGGGATTCATTGGTTGGTTCTTAGTCAAATTATGCGAAGGATTCTAACGGAGCTCCACCTGGATGGATAGTTGAGCTCCGATATGATTCGATAAAGGATATGGAGAAAATGAGTCTTACCTAGTGCAGATCCACCCCCCTGTTTCCGTGAATTCTCACAGGTCACGTGAAACGACAGTTTTTCTCCGACTCGAGAGGTCATTTTTTCATAAAGTTAAGGGAGATTTATTATTCATCAGTTTTTTCAATTCATTAATATTCTGGGCCATGATATGTTTATGTGTTCTTCAATTCTGATGTGGAAAAGAAAACGTGCTTTATGTTTGAGGAAATATTCAATTCGGGAGCTCCAAGGCAGTGTAGGCAATAGTATTTCCCGTATTTCGTATACAGGTTAGTTTAGTGGTGCGTATCGAGTTTTTTCGAAATATGTATGTATGTGGTATAGAATTCAATATATTGTTAGTATTCTTTAAATATATGAATATATATGAGAGTGGTATAGCCTTTTTTCTATATGTACTAACTGCAATATCAATATGCTAATACGTGCTACAGTTTTACTGTAGTATATTATTGCCTACACTGCTCCAAGGTACAAAGTAGAGAAGAAGTAAATGAATGATGATCGAGCCTGCTCTATTGATCACCATTGATATCGATCGATCACACTGTTCGAAAAAGAGGTATGAGGTATATGATATTCTAGTAGCAAGACCCTGAACGACCTCCTAGTTATATATTTTTTTTCTTTTTTTTTCACTTTCTCGCCTTAGATTCCTCTTTGCGCTCCATGAGAAACCTCACAATGGGCCAGTTCTCCTACTTCAACGCGGCCTCGATCTCCTGATCAAAGCCCTCCACGCTTGCGCCATACTTCAACAAAGCCTCTGGGACTCTAATGTCGCCATAGAACCCTGCTACGCTTATCAACTGAGGAAGAGCAAAATCTGGGTTCTGAGCTGGATCTGCGCCTGCCTTCAACGAAAACTCCAAAAACTCAAGTGGCTGTTTAAGTGGTTGTCTAGACATACAAGCTGATGTAATGTGCGTACCCCGTTCGTCGAATTGGCGATTGATGTATGCTGGACCGTTGGAAAGAAGAACCGAAAAGAGGTCTGTGGATCGTACGTAGACGGCTGCTCGATAACTTCGTCTTCGACAGGGATAGACGGAAATGTCGAGAGGAGGAAATCAACGATAGGTGTTTGAAACTTCCGTGCCGCTGCGGCCAAAAGAGCCTGAACGTTCTTCTCGGCGAAGTTATTTATATTGGCAAGCAACTCTTTCAATTTGTCGAGCTTGCCTGTGAAGGTGGCTTCGATGAATGGTTGAAGTTGACTGGAGTTAAAGTTTTCGAGTCTGAACTTTAGCTGCTTTATGAGATTATTTGCAACGAACTCAAGCCACGCATCTGGAAGTTGTATTGATAGGGGAAAATAAGAATTAATAAAGTGTATCTTCTGCTGGACTATCTTTTGAATTATGTAGAAGATAATCCTGAAATGTGATAATTTAATCTAAATTTTGTATTTATACTCTTATGAATCTTAAATACTTTAATATAGTATCAATATCAGTAAATTGGATATTTAATAATACTGAGGGGCTAGCCTGGAAAAGTTATTTTATGATTATATACAAATATATAATCAACATTACGCTGAACAAAAGTTTCGTAACATCCGATGTATAAGCTTCTTCCGCTACGCCCCGAAATACAAATCACATTGAGAACTGAACAAAGCGTATGCGAAAGTATTCACAGCATCTTAAATAGTCTTGACAACCTCTTCGCTATGAATCTCTGGAATGTATTAGAATCAAGCCTATAAGAGTCGAATTAGTATTATCCAAGATTCTCTAAAATTATGGCTAGTCTCTTTGAGCAGTACAAGTTGAGTGGTCAGCTCCAGATTGAGTTTCAGTGACCGTAGCTTAAACCATTAAACCTCAACTAGATATTGGCAAATTGGAGCTCTGTGGTAGCGTGGCTTTGTCCCTTATGAATTTTAGTGAGCATGCCGTAAATGCTTTGTTCGCTTGTGGAATATCTCTCATAGATTCCATATAGTTGTGAAAATTGCGAACCTTGAATGTGTCTTCTTTAGACTGTTGTATTCATGTTATTTGATCTGGTAGTGGACTTTTGGGAGATTTACAGTTGCGAAGTTTAGCGAGAATGACAAGAACTATAATTACACAATACTTGAGAGATATCAAGATTTCGAGGGTTCGGCGGTGCAAAATGACAACGCTCGTGGGAAGCTATCTCCGATTCATGAAATCGTGGATTAGACTAAAAATGGCTGCATTCGGAACCAGATTTCTAAGTAGAAAATCCATCATGATGTGTAACCCGAACCTCATGATTCACGATTATTTCACAAGCGCCTGGCAATTTTCAGTATCGGCAGAATTATGCAAGAGTAATTACTCTCGAGTCTCATATTTACAAGATTCGATGGATTCAAGACATGAGGCATAGGAAAATACTACCTTCGACAGATCGTGAGATTGTGGAGGCTGTAGATCATGACACCATGTAAGCTTACCGAGTAGATACAAGTAGGCATTTGCGCCGTACTGTGTAACATTACGGCTGACTATAAAGGATTGTCCCACGGTAAGACGTGCAGTGCCCCTTAGGTGGCTTATGCCAAGGCCTCACGATTTATTTCGAATATCCTGGAGAATAAGCGAGTCATGCTTATTGAAACGGCACGGTATACCTTCTGGAGAACCGATTGGGAATCGCATGTTCGACGTCTCTGCATAGAACAATATAAGATAACACTCCCGAATATCTACACTCGTTTCCAAACAACATAATCATCATGATCCTGAAATTTACAGGTCGAAATCGAAGAAGCACCACTTGCTTGTGAGGGATCCATCATGTGGAAGAGAACTGAATAAAAATAGCAGAGTTTTAATGCATTAAACGTAAAATATGCGAATCCTCCATTCAGCTACGTCGAGTCATCTAGTAATCCATTTTGACTAAATTAAACTTTATTTCAACTTTAGTCGCTAGAGTTGTTGAAGAAAAACTCGTTAAACACGCTTTTCCAATGGGGTTACAGTAGTAATGCTACAAGTATCTATGCCATTATAATTTGTAAGACGAAAGCCCACTTGACCCCAGGTGATTTGGGAAATCTGCCTTCTTCATTGTAATTCGTGTTGATCCGAGCTTCGATTGAAAGTTTACTGAAAGGATATATTGAAATCCCGAATTCAAGAGATCTGCGAGATGAACGAATATATAGAAAGGTGGACTAGGTTATAATTTGCCTAGTGGTAGGCAAGAATGATTTAAATGGCTTATGTATATGTATTGAGCTTTCTTTATTCAAGCCTGCCGGAAACAACTCACTGTATCTGCTATAGCTAAATCGTACCTCGTCACTCAATTGCTTTGAAGTTCTCAGATAAATGAGGTACAATCTACCTGCATGGATGTAAATGTTACTATGTTCACCCTTATGGCCTCTAGTGAGTCCCCCGAGGCGACAAGATCATCTCATTCTTGGGGCTACAATCACGTTGATGTAATATTACTTCTATCACTGCCAAGATGATATGATGGTTGTAAGTTTCATTCGATGCTCCTGTTCATGCTGAGCCCTTCACAGGATCCGAGCCAATTTTATTTTGTTTCTGGACATTGAGGCTTGAGAATCATCTTCTTGACCTAAATCTATGCTTGGCGACTGCACTGCAGAGATACATAAGGGGATATCCTTCACTGATGATCCAATTCTATCCTCATCATCAACTATAAAAACCTCTCTCTTACAAATCCAACGCAAAGCACAAAACCAACGATAAACTTTCGTTCCAAACACTATCTTCATATCCTAGATCTTCAAAATGGTTCAATTATCCACTATCGCTATCATTCTTGCCTCTGCGCTCTCTAGCATTGTCGCCGCTAAGAGCTGCAACACCGGTGGTATCTACTGTGGTACCTACCTTCTTAAAAGAGGTCAGTGTCAATTTCTCTCATCATCTATCACTGCAAAAATTATCTCCAGTTCTAGAAATTAAAGTATTCACACTAACAATTTTCCAAATAGGCGATTACATCACCAAGATCAACACCAATCTACTTGCAAACAACCTTCCGACCTCAGACCTGTATGTAAAGCAATCCCTTTGGGCCTGCATTGAGCACGGAGATATTAAGCTCCTCGAATTCTGCGCCGCCGGTTGCGTTGGTGGTGATAAGAATGATGATTATTGTACTGGGACTGGTGCACCTGCTAGCAAGAGAGACGAGGTTGAAGAGGACTTGACTGAAGAGGATTTCACTGGAGAAGACTTGACTGAGGAGGACTTGACTGAGGAGGAATTGGTTGAGAGAGCAGTTTCTATCGAGTGGAAGGCTTAAATGCTCATGGATACACTTTGGGATTTTATGGTTGGTAGATGTCGTCTAGTTTGTTTTTCTGTAGGTGTGTTGTGGTGTAGAGCGAGAGGATTTCAGTATGTTACGGCACATAAGGTTTCTTAGGGCAATTATGGACAGTTTGGGTGGCTTCAATATAGACTTTGTTTTCTTTCTATGGCTACTCGTTTATGTATCGATTATTCTGACTTCAATTCAATTTCTTCAACAAATTTACACATAAGTTTTGATCTTGCACTCTCAATTACCTTTTACCATATTACTTTCGCTTTCTATTATTGTTATTTGCGAGACTATAAAGTTAGAATTTACCAACTCCGTAGCATAATACTCTCTTCGTGTATATTTCAATGTTGACGTAGTTATTGCGGCCCAGGTTCCATCGAAATACGTTGGCCAACTCAAAAAACTACCTGATTACATATCTTGGACTATGAGTTGATCGCATTGATAGTAAATCCCGACATAAATTTGCTGTACCTAAAGCAACACTAATTTCTAAACCCATCGATGCCTATATATTTGATCCATCAATTGACCGTTACACAGTACTTCTACACAAGTCCTGTTTCAGCCTCGCAGCTCGGTTGTTTAAGCGAGTGCTACCCGAAATTCCTGACAGCGAGTAAGCAAGTAATCATGGCAAAGTCAACTGAAATCAGGGTCGCACAACTTACGTAGAAGGATTCAAGGCTGAGCCAGAGTTTCGCATAATTGGATGGGTAAGATTTACGCCATAAGGCACACTGCCACCCATGTTGGCAGAAAAAACCCCCAAGTCAAAACACATATCTAAATTGATACAAGAAGGTGGTCAGACAATTATTGTGCACAACATATGCGGTCCTTGAAAGCTTACTTGTTGTTTCAAATAAAGCTCTCCAGGCCATTTTTTGATCTTGTACCTCATAAGCATATCTTGACGTCCTCTAACAAACCCGACATTTTGGCTTATTTTTGCCAAGTCTTCACAGCTGATGATGAGAATGAGATGAGAATGAGAGGATTCATCCTATAGGAGTCTCGTGAACTGCGCAGAGATCATTTTCAAGGTGACACCATTGTCAAGAAGCACAATGAGAAAGTTTATTAGTCACTATGGTTATATTTTTGATACCTTGGAGAAGAATATGAGGTACTTGCAAGACGTATCTCCTCTTTCGTTAGGAACTCGTCATTATTGATGTTTTCAAAGATTTCCTTCTCTAAATCAATAGATTTTATGAATTTTAGAGTAGATTCTCCATACACTTCTTCTTCGGTAAAATTTTGGTTGCATCTTCACATTAATTTCGCTGAGAAGATTTGACAATTGAGCTAGCAATATGGCAAATCACCCATTTGGTGTGTACATCAGTGATTTTGAGAGAGAGTGCCACAACTAACAGGTTCAGAGCTTAAAGAAAATGAAGAGCGCTCTTCGTGTTCATCCGACGATAGCTTTAGCCATCGCAATGGCAGTTGGAAAGGGCTCCTCCGCGGTAATGGAAAAGAAAAAATACAACACGATCATGATAAATTCAGTTTCAGGAGACGATTGTTTCGCACCATTGGTATCATGATTGTGCTTGGAGTTATCGCTACCTTGTAAGTATTTTTGCTCAAAGTCTTGATCCTCTGAGACCTCAAATTTTAATCATGTCTCTCTTAGGATATGGTTATCTTTACTTCTGACCTTACCTCGTCGACATAGACCTCAAATTCCCTCGAACAGAGTCAGTTCCATAGTAGATGATTGGCGAAAGCCTGGAGATTCTATCAGCTTGCTTTCCCCTTGGAAATCAGATTTTACCGAAGGCATTACACCAATAGCATGCCATTCACACAACGATTATTGGCGTACTGTCCCACTTTTCGAAGCTTTGGCGGCTGGATGCACTAGCGTAGAAGCAGACATATATCTCCCAACAAAATCAGGGAACGACGATCTTTTAGTAGGCCATTCTGCATGGTCGCTGATACAAGACCGCACACTTCAAAGCCTTTACATTGAACCTTTA